GCCGACGCATCCTTCCCATACTTCCTCCTCATAGAGGTCCACAGCTTAAGCCCCTTCTCAGACACCGAAGAATAGGGCTCATTATCTCCACCTCGCTGCCTTTTGTTCTTCTTCCTTGGCTCAGTAGTCTTCTGGTTGGCAGGACGAGCAGTTGGAGTAATAAAAGCCGATACACTTAGTGGATCAGGGGAAGATAGCTAGACCACGAAAGTGCGTACAGGAGACATTATTATCGTCACCTTAGAATGCCTTAAACTGGGTCGTTACCACCCCGAGCCTCCCTTAGGACTTTGCCTAGATCGAGTGGCAATCAATTGATCCCAACCTGTCGCCAGACGTGCTTTCATCTCATTTGAAAGCCTTGAAGCCATCTCTACAAAAGGAAAATAAGTTAAATAAAAAAAGTCAGTAATAGAACAAGAAACAACCTAGAAGACCTAACTCACCCTGTATCTCTCGCAACTTTCCTCCTCCTTGAAGCTTGGGGTCTCACCCCCACAGCGATGTTGGAATCTAGCAAGGAAAGAAAAGGAGGAGGATTCAGGGTGTGCCGCTTCATCGCTTTAACTTGCCTAACCTCTGCGATAGTTAGGTCCCAAGGACGTCTAAGGCGGGGAGACCCCCAACCCCATTGAGAAGGCACCCCAAAATCCTTGGGTGGTTAATAAGGAAATTTTCTTTCCATTTCCCTTTAATCGATGAGCTCTTCAAGGGGAATATGTTGTATGCTTTTCGAACTGAAAGGTGCGGATGATCCTCTGCCCCTCTCCAAACAAAGTTGAATATGGCATGCAGATGATGCACATTAATCTCAAAATTTTATTGGCGAGCTAGAGTATCCGTACCAAGTAGCATTCAAATGTTGTTCGAAGCGATTTGGCCAACGGTCACCCCCACTCATTACAAAAGGAAAAGAGGATCCTCTGAAGGAGAAACCTCACACCCGCTTAGTAGTCCTCCATGTAGACAAGTAAGCTCTGTTGGTCTAACCCAGTATTGGCTCTCATCCCTGCCGGAGGGACCCTCGTCTTATATTCCAAATGAATGAAGAAGCATGTGCAGATACCCTCAAGATCGCGTTCGGTTAATATAGAGCTTAAATCCCTGACCCTCACATTTTGTTGCCTAGAGCGAGTAGGCCTATTCTCCCTTGGTTTTGGCGATTGTTCAGGTGTAGTCTTGTCCCGCAGCTGGGGAATAGGAGGCATAGACCCAGGTTGAGAAGCCGGACCTGAGCCAGTCCTATGGGCGAAAGAAGACATATCCTGCAATGTCCTCCAAATCAGTTGCACCTCATCTTTCGAACTCGATTCAAATTTCACCACTCCTAGAATGAGGTTATCCTCCTCCAAACCAACTTGCTCGTCCTCAAGACCTAGGAGATTGAAGGTTTATAAGCTGGGGCCTTAGCCTTATTTCAACAGTTAGAACTCATTTCTAAGAAATTTTAAATGCAAAAAGCTAAAAGCAACGAGGTAAGAACTCAAATAGAAAGGTAATAGAAGTTACCTAAAGAACAAAGAAGCAGTTGTTAAGTTTGGAAGAGAATTATTATTAGGAAGCAATCACAAAAAATCCCAAAAAGTAAGGACACAAGACTTTATATAACAAAGAAATTCCCACGACTATTGCAGGAATGGGCCCACGTCTAAACTCGCAGCCCGTATGGGCCAAATTTTAGGCCCAAAAATATGCAGCAGAAGCCTCATAGCAAGTCACGGCGATCAAACCCCTTTCCCTTTTACTTAAACAAAGCACCACACCCTGTAAACTGAGCGCGAGTGGGTTCGATGCTTCCAGGTGAACTAGAACTTACCGAGATTGATAGTTGATGGCATAAATATCACCTAACCTTTTGAGGGGACATCTGATAAGCACCTGCTTGACCGAGATCCCCAGATTTCCAAAATCGTGAATAACAGAAAAGGGATGTGAACTTGATATTAGGAGATAATGTCCGGATATTGCTCCCCATCATTTGAGTAACCAACTCGACACTAATACCTTGTATAAAATGATAAATCCAACCCTAAAAAAGGGTTAATGTCAATTCAAACTATCAAATATAATACAAGTATTATCACTTCCTCGAGATCATATTTTTTAGACTATCAAATAGCATAAAATAAGAGAGAACAAATGATTATTTCATATAAATAATTTTTCTTAGTTTTGGTTTAAATTTAGATGTGGAATAACTATTTCACAGAAAAAAAAAATTTATGCTCTTAAGCTTTGATAGAGATCCTAAATATATAATAATAATTTAACATATGTAATATAAGTATTTGTGCAGTGAAATTTTGCAAAGAGTAAAAATATTACTATCATCTTCCATCTCTCCCTATTCTTTTGGTCCTCGGTTCTTTGAAATGAGCTTATTGTATTTGGATTGGATTGGATTAATTCGGTTGCAAATAGAGGCGGATTTATAATTGAAGCAATGGGGGCACCTGCCCCACCGATTTTTTACGGTTTAATTTATAATTTTTTACATTTTTATATATATAATTATGTTAATTTGTACTTATTCTACTGAATTTTTATATTTTACATTCACTAAATTACTATTTTCATGCATTGCCCTACTAATTTGATTTATTTGATTTTCTGGATGTGCATCAGGTTGCAAGAGATGACAATGAAGTCCAAGATGTTCGTAATGCGATTGTGGCAGAAACTTGGCCCATCCGGTTCGGTATTGGACATGACAAGCGAGACAGAAGCATGATTATGATTTTTTTTTTTTTTTTTTTTTTTTGCAATCAGGTTGCCCAAGAGATGACCAATGAAGTCCAAGATGTTCGTAATGCGATTGTGGCAGAAACTTGGCCCATCCGGTTTCGGTATTGGACATGACAAGCGAGACAGAGCATGATTATATTTTTTTTTTTTTTTTTTTTTTTTTTTTTTTTTTTTTCAGTGGATACTGGAGAGCAATTGCAAAGAAATACAAAATTATGAAATAAAATTACGTTCCGATATTAAATCATTTAACATAAACATGATAAAAACAAAAACTCTACACTCCAATTTTTAAATTTCAGACAAACTATTAATTTCAGAAATTGTTAAATCTTGTGGAACTACCATTAATTATTATATAAATAATTTCTTGAACGAGAATAAATTTTAGCTAGATTTATATTAGAGTTGAAATATAGAAAATTATGCATAAATAAATAAGAATAGAGAAAGCAGAGAATTTCAATAACAGTGACTTGAGTAATTGGCTAATGCATACATTCAGTTATGAATCTTGTCCCTTTACTCTTTGTACCAACTTAACTTTTATTTTAATATATTATACGATTCAACTTCAACCTGTAATTATTCAACGTTTCAACTTGCAAAATCATTTTACTGAATATTTTAACTTATATATTAGACGGATTAAATACTTATTAGATAATTTAAAATTACAAAATTTATATTCTAAAAATTTTACTAACCACACATCAAAATATTTTACATAAAAAAAAGCCAAAAACTCTAAAAACTTGTTACTAGTAATATGAATTATGAAAAGTGTAAAAATGTGCAACAATATTAATATTCTTAGTTTTAGGAGCAAATAAGATTTCTTCACTCAAATTCTATAATTATATATTTATTTGGACAATAAATAAATGATACTAGATAATTAAAAAATAAATAAAATTCTAGAAAAGGAGAAAAAATAAAAATATATACAGAATTAAAACAAAGTAAAATTTTGTAAACCATATTTGTTGTTTCATAAAATCCAATTATTGAGTTTCTAATAATATTAAATATGATTATCAAAGAAACTAACCGACATACATTCTCAGTCTCAAAGCAAAGTGCAAATTTTAGGAAATAGAAAAGACATTATCATCACAACTCTTGGCAAATCCAGCGTGTGAGACACTTCAATCCAAAAGACTGTTCCAGCAAAATATAGAGATATTTATAGAAGAAAATCATACATAAGAATAAATCTGGGGAATAGTTTATAATCAGATGATAATAACGAGCACTTTGTTAAGTGCAAAGCCATCCTTATAGAAGAACATAGAACACAAGATCAAACTTATTTTGCATATATGAACAATAATTGTTATCGGCAAAAACAGATCAGCTTCAACAACCATATTATTCCCACTATCACCTAACCAAAGAAGATGCGCAACGTCCAATTCCTAACACAACATCCTATTCCTATACACTGAACAATGGGCAAGTGCAGGCTGGATAAATGGGTCATGCAATAAGTCTGTAAGGAACATTTTTACATGTGTTCAATAAAGAAGGCTATTTAGATGAAAACATTGTACGTATAAATTAACAGCTGAGCAAGCAGATCCAACACAGAGAAGAATAAAATACAAACCAAAATAATGAAAGTTGCACCAATATTCTTGATTGCCGCTGTGAGAGGCATGTTGAGGTGTAAACGGTATGGATCTAGAGTACAATAAACTCTACAAGAGGTGCAGCTCGTAAATGGCTCAAGACTTCACTCACAAAAAGGTCGTTTGATAAGCTTATTGAGTCTAGTTAGAGCATGAGTCCGAGCTTGTAAAGGTGTAACTTTATTTTTCAAAACTACAAACAATAAATGAGCCAAGCCAAAGCTCCATTTCTCAAGCTCAAATCAAGTTCCAGCTATAACTTTAAATAGCTCAAGCTCACGCTCGTTTATAGGCCTAAATTGTCAGGAGGATGGAAAGAGGTACTTTCATCATGCAATAGCAAGCACCTCCTAACGATATTCCAGGAAACCAAAGTAGACAAATAACAACCAAAAAAATACAAATAACGCTAGCTAAATCACATCATCAAGTCAGTAGCCAATGCTTAAACAGATTAGTTCTGTTAAATTGACGGCACAATAAAAAACATGAATTCTCAATGCCAACAGCTTTGATGCTGCAAGAAACAAAATCCAAACTAAGTAAAAGACCAATTAGACAAACATCTAAGTAATTCAATAATAAAAGAATGCAGTACATCCAGCCAGACAGCAGTTAAAAGAGTTGCAAAAGATTTGGACTGCTATATGATGAACTAGTTAACGGGTTAAGACATGAAAAATCCATTGACCAATATTATAGCCACTACACAATTAATATTAAACTTGTTGTAAGAGTTGAACCGAAACTTAATACAAAATCAAATCAAAGTAAATGCAAAATAAGAGCAGGAAGGGAGATATCAGAGCGAACCATATAATTCTATCAGCTAAAAAACACCGGGGAAATATTACATTGCAACAGGAAAAGTTGCATCTCAGTGGGTTTCCCTTTCAAAGCTCAAATTCTTCGTCCTTCAGAGCCATCTCTGCAGCCTCCTCTTCCTCCTCATCAAGAATAAAATACTCATTCTTCTCCAAAGGCCTAAACATATAAAACATAACTGCATAAAACAGCAGACTAGCTGTCTCCTCCGCGGCACTACTAACCCACTGGTATTTGTAAGCCGCAATAGTCTTAAGAGCAAAAACCACGATCCTTGTGAAATACAAGTACCCAATAACAACAATGTAAAATTGTCTAAACAGTTGCAATTTGGCTAAATTCCTTGCAGCTTTCCCATCAGTCTTAGAGGTCTCTCTCAAAGACCGGATCGACCACCGATCCTTGTGAAATACAAGTACCCAATAACAACAATGTAAAATTGTCTAAACAGTTGCAATTTGGCTAAATTCCTTGCAGCTTTCCCATCAGTCTTAGAGGTCTCTCTCAAAGACCGGATCGACCACACAATAGGGAAAATAATCGCGCAACAACAGATAATATCCACTAACAAGAACACCTGATTCCAGGTAAACCAATCTTTAATAAAAGGCCCAGTCTCACCAATCACCACAGAAGCTACATTAGCCAAGACCTGAAGTGGAATAACAATCATCAACACCTTCTTCTCCTTCTCTTGCAGGAATGGCTTCAAAAACGACCAGCCGGTGCCAATCAAAACAATCACCGTAAAGAGCAAAACGACGCGAATAAACTGGAAAATGTAGAACAGAACATCCCAACCGTGAGGAGTACCGGTGACTTTGACGTAATGCTTATCCTCCGCGGCACAGATCAAGTTAAGCGCTTTCATTAGCAACAATCCAGCCATTAATAAATGGATCCTATGTACAGATCTTCTATTCGTGTGGCAAATGTAGATCCAAAAGCCAAGAAAAGCGAGATATGCAACCGAATAGAAGAAGTAAAGGGAAGGTAACTGTGTAAGGCCAGCGGAGAGGTAATCCCTAGATCCATCACGCTCGAGATTGTAAAGCTCCGTTGTCACCGCCATGGAAACGCGCGTCTCCGGCGCGCAATTGGCGAAGAAAAGAGAGTATTCATTTGGCGCTGTTACAGGGAAAGATCGATCGAATGAAGAGAGAGGCGGTGGAGAGAGATCGCGGAAAGTGAAAAGATGAAGGGTATAGTGAGACTCAAGAACGCAAAAATTCGGGTTTTGTTGGATCTCCAGGAGGACTTGAAGGAGAGACTCTTCAGATAGGAGAAAGAAGCCCAGACGAGAAGGGCTAGGGTTAGGGGCGTTGATAGAGGAGGATACAGAGACGGAAGAGACGGATATGCCCACGTGACCAGTATGCGTGAAGCCGAATTTCTCGAAAAGGATCATAGGTCGATCATCGTTGTTGATATTTAAGGTTTTGATTTCGGCGACGGTGAGGGTGAAGAGGGAAAGGATAATGAGGAAAGAAAGAGGGAAGAAGGGTGGTTTCGTCATTTGCGATGGTGGTGGTGGATGTGATGGAGCTGGAGAGATCTATCGACCAGAAATGCAGAGATTGAACGGAGGAGTGAGAGGGATTGACAGACCCGACGTTTACTTTGACGAAAATGGCATTTGTTGTTTTGTCAGAATCAGGTCTTGCGGGTTCCGAGTCTAAATGTACGACGCCGTATGGAGAACCTTTGACGTGCAAATTCCGCACAAATGTAAAAATTTGAGACCGCTCCACACGGAAAGCCAACGTTTGTAATAAATATAAACATCGCTTTGAATCCTAATTTTTTATTTTTTTTTCTTAATAAAAGAAAAACATATCTGATCATTCAAAAAAAATTTTGAGATTATCTTCTTTATCCTTATAAGATAAAAAATTATTTAGGTTTAATATTTAAATATCATGTTTATTTTCGGTTATTTTTAATGTATAAATATTTGAAACCAAGGATTCATACAGTATACTCTAATTAATTTGATTGTTACTGTTGAGTTAAATTTATAAGTATTTTATTTATTTTTTCTTTAACAATAAAATGGTATTATTGTTATAGTTAAGTTAATTAACTCTAATGGAGTAGTTTAGATAACCTACGTTGGATTACTATTTTGGGGAAAAGTCTGCCTTACACAAAAGTGTTTATTAGATTAGTAATATAAATATTATTATAGGAAAATTAATCATTTAATCCTTGAGGTATGATGAAATTATTTAAGTAGTTCATTCATTTTGGATAAATATTCAGCATGTCACTAACGTTTGCATCCGTCATTGTAAGTAATACATCCGTCCAATTTCCTTCTTTTTTTTTTTTTTTGTTAAGTTATACGAAAATGTCGAAAATACCCGTGAGCAATATGAAAGCCAAAGGTCTCTCCCTCTCTGTCACTTTCGCCTGTATCGCCTCCACCATTGTCGCCTCCATATCAACATCCACACCCATGCCATCTTCTCCATTGCCACCTCTGCCTCTAACTCCACCTCCACCTCCACCTCCACTTCTATTCGTACCTCACCATAATCGTGAAATTGTGTATGCTATACGGTAGATTAGGTCACGATGATCATATGCACCCCGAATATGTATTCGTAATGGAAGATGTTGCAGTAGAACTCGTCAGAGTTTGCGCAAGCACAAGGTGGATCGCCCTCTAATGTTGCAATATCGCACATTAGGCTCAGGGCAGGGCAACGTAGCGAAACAACAAAGCGAAGTAGTTATCGGTGTGTGATGGCTATGAATGCATATTCCACAAGTGCACGGGTCGTACAAGTTATATAGTGAAAAAGGTTGTCAAATCCACAGAGATTGGAGAATTGATTACTAATCTTTATGTTTAACAATTATCAGGAATATCATAAATATTTTGGCAGGCAATAAATAAAACTGCAGTAAAATTAAATAACTACAAATTAAAGCAAGTAAATTAAGCTAACAATTCTCAAGGATTTAATTAATCAATATTCAAGATAATCTAGACATGAGATATTTATTAGTTTAACGCGTATTGCGAATGGTCGATTGAATGGTTTATGTCTGTTCTTGAAGGAGGACTAACCTATAATATCCAAGTTTCTCTGCCAAGATTAAATGGACGTGTTGGAATCAAAATGACACATACTTTCGTGGTACTACGTTGATTGAAACTGAATAAGCTGGTATTATTCCTTTGGCCCTCAAAGAAATCTACCCTATCCCTAGGTCCATTTTTCTAGGTTTAACACATGAGATTCGATTAACAAGTCAATCTTCCAATCATACTAATCGGTCTAAGATCATGCAAATATGGAGCCTGATATATCCACATGCATTAAGCTTACACGTATTGAATTAGAAAACTATAGGCAATTATACAAATAAATTAAACCATTCTTGGACACAAACTAATACATAGTTCCCATAACCAGATTTAGAATTTAATCATGCTTGAATACTAATACAATATTCAAAAAAACAAAATACTCCAATAAAAATAAAGAGACAAAGACATGAGATACAAATTATACTTGGATTTCCTTTTTGTTCTTCCTAGACTCCATGTCCTAGATGTTGTAAAACAGCTACTGCCTCTCCTTCTTATTAGTGCAATAAGCTCGATCCCCTTCCTTGACAAATGTCTAAAGCGTTCCCTTGCTTGTGTTAATGATTATCTTCAGCTCCAAATTCTATTCTATTCCTTACCTCAACAAATATGTATCAATGTGAGCTGTCAAAGAGCAATTGTAGGATAGAAATATTCTAGTTACCTAATCTGATTGTAAATTATAGCCTAAATTAATGTAATTTGTTTTCTTTCTATATTAGCTTCCTGCACAGGCTATATATATATAGCTTTCTGCTAATGTTTGTAGATATCAAATTGTGAATACAAATTCTCAAATTCTTCTCTTTATTTTACATGGTATCTGAGCCAATGGCCCTTGTTTCGATATCATCCTCCTCCATGCCTTCTATCAGTATCAGAGCCAATGGCCCTTGTTCCAATATCATCCTCCTCCATGCCCTCTATCACCTCTTCTTCTTCTTTTTCCATTAAGCTTACTCAAAAGAATTACCTCTCATGGAAAACACAGTTTACACCCATCCTTAATTTTCAAAAGCTTAATGGTTTCATTGATGGATCTATTCCACCTCCTTCTCAAACTATACCTACTTCTTCTACAGATGCCACTCCTATACCCAATCCTGCATATGATCCTGCTGCCACTCCTATACCCAATCCTGCATATGAAAAATGGTTTGACAAAGATCAACTTCTTCTCTCATGGCTTCTTGCCTCTCTTTCCGAAGAAGTTTATCCATTAGTTATTGGACTTAAATCTTCTTATGCTGTATGACAGGCCCTAGCTAATGCCTTTGGATCGGTTTCACAAAATCGTCAACTTTAGCTCCATATTTCTCTTCAAGAGCTTAAAAAGGCTGATCTTTCTGTCTCTGCTTATCTTCAAAAGGCGAAGTCCCTTGTTGATGAACTTCAGGCATCAGGACGTCCAATATCCACTGCTGAATTTAATGCCATAATATATAGAAATATTGGGTATGAATATCACTCTATAATTACTTCTCTTAATTTGAGACCTAAACCTGTGTCATTCTATGAACTTCATGGTCACCTTGTTGCCCATGAACTTCTTTCCTTGTTGCCCATGAACTTCTTTTAAATAATTCTCATGAGCCTGTTGCCAATCTTACTCTCAGAACCCAAACACCTCTTCTCCCAACTCCTCATTCTCAACATCAATCTCGTCCAGCTTATCGAGCTAATTATAATCAGGGGAATAACAGAAATCGAAATCAGCAAAATACTTTTGCTTGTCAAATTTGTGGTTATCGTAATCACACAGCTATTACTTGTCGTCGTCGATATCAACGGAACCAAAATACTGGAAATTATAATTATGGAAATGTTAATGCCAGCAATACCACTCCAACAGCTAATGTTGCAGCTGTTCAATCTTCTGCATCTCCTGCACAAGTGACATGGTTCCCTGACACAACAGCCAACTATCATATTGTTCCTGATCCAAATCATTTGACTCAAATCAATGAATACACAGGCCCGGATCAGCTCTTTGTTGGTAATGGACAACTCTTTGTTGGTAATGGACAAGGTTTATCAATTTCCCATACTGGTAATAGTGTTCTTTCTTTTCCTGATATTTGATTTAGCATGAATAAAATTTGATGTGTTCCTGAGATTAAGAAAAATCTCCTTTCTGTTCAAAAACTTGCAACTGACAATTCTGTGTTTTTTGAATTTTGGCCACATTATTTTCTTATAAAGGACCAAACCAGCAAGAAAATTCTGATGAAAGGTCCAAGTGAAGATGGAGTCTACAAGTTTCGTCAACCTCAGTTCTCTAAGCCTTCTGTGTATCTTGCAAATGTTGCACCTTCTCTGGGTGAGTGGCATAGTCGGCTGGGACACCCAAACGTGCAGAAAATTTTTTCTTTAGCAAAGCAAAATAAAATTTCAAGCTCTAGTTCTGTTCTTAGTCCATGTGCTAGTTGTCGTCTTGGAAAATTGAGTCGTGTTCCTCTTGCTTCCAAGGAACACAAAAGTGTTTGTCCTTTTGAAATTGTTTTTTCAGATTTTTGGGGTCCTGCCCCTATTCAGTCTAGCTTAGGTCATCGTTATTTTGTTATTTTTGTTGATGATTTCATTAGATTTACATGGATTTATTTTATGAAAGCAAAAAGTGAAGTGTTTGATATTTTTAAGCAGTTTGAATAGTTAATTTTTCGACAATTTAAAAAGAAAATTCTTGCTTTTCATTCAGATTGGGGTGGAGAGTATCAACGTCTTCATCAGTATTTTAAAAATCATTGTATTCAACATCGAATTGCCTGCCCGTACACTCATGAACAAAATGGTACGACAGAATGAAAAATTCGACATCTTGTTGATACGAGTTTAACATTGCTTGCTCATGCCAGTCTACCTTTGAAATATTGGAATGATGCTTTAGAACAAAGTGCAATGTTAATCAATGTTTTACCCTCTGATGTTCTTAACAAAAATTCTCCATATATTTGGCCTTCCAACCATTTGGCCTTCCAACCATTTGGCTGCTCCGTTTTTCCACTATTAAGACCATATAATTCTCACAAATTTTCTTATCGCACTCATGAATGCATATATTTGGGTCAAAGTCCTTATCATTCTGCATATAGATGTTTAGATGCTAGTACAGGTCGGATTTATTTTATCATTCTGCATATAGATGTTTAGATGCTAGTACAGGTCGGATTTATTTAGCAAAGCATGTCCGATTTCACTCTAATGTTTTTCCTTATGCTAGCCGTGCTACTCATTCTAATGAAAACAAGGCTGAACAAAATTGGTTAACTGTAACATGTCAAACTTCTCTAGACTTGGCTTTTTCATCAGAATTAGGTAACCTTCAAAACTCAAACTCTGTTTCTTTATCTTCTCCGCTTAATTTAAATACTTCTACCTCACCAAAATCTCTTACAACTATTTCTATGTCGTCTTTATCTTCTCTCACTGAATCTCCAAAATCTAATTCTCCTGGTTTACAACTTCTTGTATCTACACCAGAATCCATAGATCGATTCAAACTCATTCGCGCCCATCATATGGTCCTTCGGCCCCATCCTAAACCAAAAAAAATTTTCCTACATAGCCACTTCCATGCCTAATCAAGAACCCATTTGTTTTACTTATGCTAATAAATA